TTTTTATTTTTCATTTTTTATTTTTTTTAAATTTTTTTGGCCAGTTAGCTTCCAGGTGAGGATTTTATACAATTTTCCAGAAAGTGTGATATAATCAGACATATTTCTGCATGCTGTGTTACTCATGTTTCTGCTTGAAGTGATGGGGCTTTTTCTGAGTGTTACAAAATCCTTTGTAAAGTGTATTTTTTATAAATGGAGAGCAGTTACCCTAAACTATGTTCTTATGCTTTAGAATGGGTAAAACGAAATCTTTAGTAACTAGAAAAAACTCTGCCAGTTTAATAATTGTGGTTTTTACACACAACAGGTTTGTGGGTGACTTTGAAACTTCTTCCAGGAGATATTCATCAGATTAGGAAAGAGTTTCCACACTTGGTGGATAGGTCAACAGCCGTGGCTCGGAAAATGGGCTTTCCTGAGATTATTATGCCTGGTAAGCCATTGTGGGAATTAATGCTGCTTTTGTTATATTTTAACCTTCTTAAAATATCTGTATTTATGGAAACCTTGGGCGGAAAAAAAGAGGAATTTGAGGTACGGTATGCATGAGAAATAAAGGATCATCAAAGGATTTTGTCTCATTTAAAATAACTGTAAAATTCTTTGGTAATACCTGCCACATGTGCTGGATCAATAAATAAAAATAACTCCTCCAAAAAGATGTGAGATTCTTTTTGTCCAGTGAAGAAAAAGGTATATGAAGTACACGCTTCATATTATCTCTCTAGCAAGGGTGTATGTAAAAGTGATGTCTCCTGTGATGAATCCGAACCAGAAATATTTTACAGAGGAACAGGCTTGATTTTAGAGCTATGCAAGTCTCTTAGGGTTTGTACTAGAGTTGGATAATGTATTTGAAAGAAAGCCATACTGTCTTTTTTTTTTTAATATGTATATTCCGTGAATGTTCAGTTCTGGTGTTCATGAAAAAAAACCTCCTCCTCAAAATAAAAACTGCTATAAGCAACAGCCTACAGAAAAAAGCCTGCCCTGTCCTTTTCTAGGTTGATGGGCTCTGGAGGATCCATTAGATATTTTCCAAACCCATCCCAGCTCCGGCTCTCCCTGTGGTTGCTGACTGTGCGTTTGTCAGATGTTGATAGTTCAGACTTTAGAAGTCTTAGTGTAATTTTATCTAAAGAGATATTTTCAATTTTGAATCTTCAAGATGGCTTTTGAGTATTTTGCTGTATGCATATATGACTGTGGTTAATGTGCTGGTTGTTGCTTCTATGTATCATTGGTTTCACAAATGAAGAGGTAAAGTGTGAAAATTGCTGAGAACTTTCTGCTTTGCTTTTTTTTTTTTTAGGTGATGTTCGTAATGACATCTATGTAACATTGGTCCAGGGAGATTTTGACAAAGGCAGTAAAACAACAGCAAAGAATGTCGAAGTGACAGTATCTGTTTATGATGAAGATGGCAAAAGATTAGAGGTATTGAACGTCTGGGGTTTTTATTGTGGTAGATAGAGGTTTCAGCCTTCTCAATGTCTTTATATTGGTCAACTCAAGTCCCTGTTTTTATTTACAACGAAACTTTCTCATTTGTCATAGCTAAGTGCCTCTTTGATACTAAGTTAATGAGGAGCTCTGTCTTATTTTGACCCACTTCACTGAAATCTGTTTTTGTTTATTTCAATGACAAAGTGAAGTTTGAGGCAGACGTAAACATTTCCTCTTTCTGTTTGTGTTTTCAAGAGTGTTATTTTTCCTGGCGCTGGTGATGAAGCCATCTCAGAGTACAAGTCGGTCATATATTACCAAGTAAAGCAGCCTCGCTGGTTTGAGACTGTAAAGGTATATAAACTGTTACGGTAACTTCCTCTGGGGGGGTTAATATATAATTTATATAATATAGGTTTGAGTGTAAAGCCTTGAGAAACAAAACGAGGGAAATTCAGTGCTTGTCATTGCGTTTTAGCAGGACAAAAGGAATAGCTCAAGTAAGGAAGGCTTTCAGAGACTGCTGGAAAATAGATTAAGCTTTTATTGTGTAATGAATTTTCTTTCATCCTTTTGGTCGACTGTTACAGGGCGACTCTAACATGTGTTTAGGAATGGTTTTCTCTATTTCCATGAAGCTAACCTAGAGAAGCAGGATATTAAGGTTAAAGCATAATTGCCGTAGTGTTGAACTCATCAGTGTTTTGGGATCTGGCTGCTTGTGCTTTAAGCTTGCTGAATTTGCCTGGGTAATAACACGGCTTAAATGCCAAGTTTTAATATTACAGAGGAGGCCGATGTTAGCTTTATAAAATACATTCTGTCTAGCTGTAGTCCGTGGGAGTAGCATATGTGTACGGAGAAGGGACTTGCAGCTACTCCCCAGACCCTTGTTTTAAGTCCAAAGATGCTCTTGTTGCATCTGCAGACAGAAAGTGTCTGGTACATGGGTTGCACCTCTGCACATTGCTTACACATGGATCAGAGATACACCAATACTCCACGTAGTATAAATGTTACATAGGTAATGGATGCGTTAATTTTTACTTTGCTGCTGTTGACAGTCAAGTTCACCTCTTTTCTTCTGTTCTTTCTGTCTGTCTTGGTGCAAGAATTAGCGATTTTCCTGGGGGCTCTATGACCTTCCAAGGTCTTATACGGCAAAATGAAGCTGGTACTTAGCATTAATCTTTCTGAAAGCCTCAAGCATATTGTTGAAAGATGCCTAGATGAGGTTTGGTAGCGGTCAGTGATGTTTGAAGCTACTGGACTGACTGTTTTCTTTCTCCATCCTCTTTCCCAATGTGCGAAGGTCGCAATCCCCATTGAAGATGTGAACCGCAGTCATTTAAGGTTCACGTTCCGTCATAGATCATCCCAAGACTGTGAGTAATTCAGCCTTTTCTCTATGGTTCTTGTCAGTGGCTGGTGCCAAAATCTGCTGAAACAGACATAGTGTTCCTATTCTATAATTGGCTATTTTAATCGCTTTAGTGCAGCGATAAGTTTTTTTGCCTGCAAAAAAAAAAAAAAGCCTTTTATCTTAGCATCTCGGCTTCTTTTTCCCTTTACATCTTCCTCACTCTGCCCTATCAACATCAAGTTGGGGATTTCCCTTGATTGTGATGGTGTGAATTCCATATAGTGATTACGGGGGATGGCTGCCTCCATAGGAAAGCCTTGCTAAATCAACAGCAAAATATTTTGCTGTAGAATAAATGTATAGACAAAAACATTGACCACATCACGTCCACTAGGTGCGTTTGAAGACATGTAATACTCTTGATGACTAGGTATCTGGGTAATACATAGTGCAGTACCCCATACTGGTTATTTAATTGAAGCTGTATGGTTATTTTTTTTTTGCTTTAAAGAATGATGCTTGCTAATGAAAACAATGTGCCAAAAATCAGTGTCATCGGTATGAAAATTATGATTATGCGCTACAAGTTACTAGAGTCAGAAATATTTTTCTGTTGACTCACAAATTCAGCTTGGCTGTGATTTCAATATTAAATAGAGGCTGTGCCTTAGGGCTGCAGACCTTTCTCACAGGCTCCTTGCGCTATCTTAAGTTGATTGCACTTTTCTTCTTGTTTTACTTCTTAACTTACTTTGTGATTTCTACTTGCCCCATTGCTTTGTTTTTACTTAACTTTTTCTAATGGATTTTGAACAATGAGAGCAAACTGAATGCATTTTCTAGTTCATGTTGGTTGTGGAGTGGGTCATCTTTCAGAAACTTGGGTACTTTGTAATTACAGATCCTGTTTTGGTTCTAATTTGCATCAAATTTCTGTTTTGTTTTTAAAAAGTTGCCTTAATGCAGCTTTATGAAAGAACAGACAGAATACAGAAATATTAAGCATCTAGTTCCTGTTGATGTGGTCAGATTCTTACAGATTTATTTGGCGTTTGTTTCGATTCTGTCTTGTGTTTAGAAGACTTTCCTAATTTCTTGTGCACTTTCTCTGAGAATCTTTACTGTGGTCATTCATTTACAGGTTATCCGTGTCTTTGAGACTTAGGTAGACAGTATAAAAAAAAAAGTAATTATGTGGTGGTTATTTTTGTGTGTTTGTGTTTTTTTTTTTCTTTTTAACAGCCAAAGATAAATCTGAAAAAATATTTGCCCTTGCATTTGTGAAGCTCATGAGATATGATGGAACAACTTTGAGAGATGGAGAACATGACCTTATTGTTTACAAGGTAGAATTTTGAGATACTTTGGTCTTACCGTAGCAGCTAGCTCAGCTGATGGACTTTTAGTGAATTACTGTTACGGAATTGGGCAGAAATATGTGTTACAGACTGTTCTGTTAGGTCAGGCAACTAAATAGCAAGTACTGTGCAATTTGCATATTCAGTAGACTGTTAAACCTTGAATATGTTTTACTGAGGTTGTTTTGATTTCAAAGGCACTTGTTATTGAGTCTTAGGTGGGCTTTCATGGCTGGGAAAAGTTACTTCTGTAGCCCATTAAATGTCACATCTTGGGTCTAATCTGCAGCCAGGTTAATGCTAAATTACTGTTGTTAAAGAACCATTGGAAAGCTCCAGTTCTGGAGCAAACCTAAGAAAAAAAGTGTGTAAATAATTATTTTGTTTTATTAGTAGCAAGGTTTTTTACTAGATACTTTCAACTTGTTTCGTGTTTATTTAAAACACCACTGTAGGCAGAAGCGAAGAAGCTGGAGGATGCCTCGACGTATTTAAGTCTGCCATCCACTAAAATAGAATTGGAGGAAAAGGGACACTCTGCAACAGGGAAGAGCATGCAGAACCTTGGAAGCTGCACCATCAGCAAAGACTCTTTCCAGATTTCTACTTTAGTTTGTTCAACAAAACTTACCCAGAATGGTAAGTCCATAGAACTGCTGGAGCTTCTGCTCCTCACAGTTGGGGTGGGGTTATATGTACTGACTTTCCTGCCTTCTCCGTCCTCCTCCTGCTATAAATGGATGGTGGGTTGTGTGCAATGCAGTCTTGGATTAAATTGTCTGGATGCAGCAAAAGCATCTCCTGAGGATGTGTGCTATCCAGCTTTTCTCTGCCCTTGGGCTTTGTTTGGCTTAAGAGCAGTTCATGTCTCTAAGAAAGCCAAAGAATCCCGAGTTAAATGGAAACGGGAATATTATTTGCCATAAAATTTAGACTTTTCTGTTGAAGTAGACTGAAAACAGGCTCTGTGGCATTTTACTTCTCTGTGGGTAGGAATAATAGCACTAAGGCAGAGGATGAGTTTGCTTTCAAGAGCAGGTGATATCATGGCTCTGCTCTCAAGCTGTTTTGTGTTATTTCCGATGTGCAATATCTGTATCTTCTGTCTGAAGAAAGCTCTGATGTTTTCTTGTGTTGGGCAGAAGGGTTGTATGGAGGTCACTCTGAGGTTCACGCATCTTCACGTGAACAGAGCACCAGGAATGGAGTTGGCAGATTTTGTTCCTTTTTAAATCTTGCCTTATATACATTTTACATGTGTATTTGTCAGCTGGCTGCCTGCATCCAAAGGCTCTGGAAAGTAGAGCTGATGGCAGGCACCAAAGCAAATATTTCACATTTCCAGCCTGTGCCCTCTCTGTAATTTTTGTGCTCCGTTGCTATGGAGCGCTCCCTTGTTGTCTTCGCCGCACCAGGAGTAGGCTCGGGAGTGTGGGTGGGTCATTGAGATGGGAGTGAGTCACGCCAAGGAAAGGGATGGTTCGTTCATGACTCATGAGAAAGGAGGGCTTCGTTCGGATAGATCTGTCGGGAGTCGAGGCTGTGGATGAGGAGGGCTTGGGACGGGGAGTGGGTGGGAAGAATGATGGGAATGAGTTCTCTGTCCAGGGGGAAAGTTACTACTTGGGTACGACTTCGTTGTCAACTCACAATTTTGATTGCAGTGGTTTTTCAGGGGCATCTCTGTTATCCTGGGTGTTTTGGATTCAGAGCACATCGGGTTCGCTGCAATCTGGCGGTCTTATGGCCTGAGAGGGTGTTTAGCAAAAAAAAAAAAAATCAGAAATTATGTTGGAATATCATAGCTCAACAGTAACGCAGTGGTTTGGGGGTTTTGTAGGATGTGGAATTGAGCTGCTTTTTGTTTGTGGTACAATTGGGTTTGTTCCCCCCCCCCCCCCTCTTTCCTGGTGCTTATTAGCAGCTAGAAGTAGTTCACAGTGATCAATATATTGACATTGCTTTCACAGAACTATTATTAAAATTAAGACTGAGCGTTGTTTCGTGCTTAGTTTACATGTAATTTGCCTTGAACTTCTGATCGTTATTTAATGTTGCTGTTTGTGAAACTCTTGCTCAAAGTTGCCAAAGCCTTCTCTCTTTCTTCAAAGTATTTTGACATTATTAAACAAGATCACCATGTACGCTTAAAAAAATTCAGAAAAGAAACAAAAACCATTTCATCATTAAATTCCTCCCTCAAGTATCATTCTTCATCTAAAAATGGACAGTGCAGTCTCCCGAATAGCAAACTTGGCCACTGGTAAGAATTGGGCTGTTTTCTTTGAGAGAAGGTGAGAGTAAGAAGTATCTACTTAGCGTTTGAGCAGTTAGTGATTTGTGGCAGAATAGATTAGAGCAACACATTTCCTGGCCTTTTCTTAGATTTTTTACATTTTATTTTGAGGAAGAGTAGCGATGTAAGCCAAAGAGGAGGACCATTTAAAAACAACGACAACAAAATACCCAACCTCCTCAGGAATCAGTGAGATCAGCTCTTGGAAGCCTTTTATTATCGGGGTGATGGGAACAGAATTAGAATTGGATTAATGGGTTTTAACAAGTTTAACGAATGCTAGAGTGGGTTGCACTTGGTTGTTCCTTAATGAGCTGATTTACAGGGGAACCCCAATGGTGAGTTGCCTTGAGAGAAGCTTTCCTTAAAGGAAACTGAAAAATGTGTGTTGTGGCTCTTTATAACTAATAAAAGAGAGAGAGCTTGCCTTCTGTATTCTCTGAGTTATCACTCAGTGCTGAAGTGACACGATCTTAATAGTGGCACGTAGAATTTGGGGACAAGACCATGTGCAGTTGATTTGTTCCATGATCTGATCGGTACCCTAGCTCTCCATCACTCGGAAGCAACCAGGAAATTTTGGACATGGAGTTATTAAGCTTTCCACTGAATTAGCCTAGTTTGCAGTTGGTTGCCTTGTTTGGTGCCTTATTTTTGGTTTATTCCATGAGAGCAAAGAAACTGGAAACATTAATTCAGAAAAGTCATGGCCCTGTAGATGTGACTGTGTTGGTGGCTGACTAATTTCATTTTGGCATCTTTTTCTAAACACACAACTGTTGTGTACAACAAATTAAAACCGAGGGATCAGACTTTCTTGGACGAAATTTTATTGCTGGCATTTTAAAAGCAAGCTGCTTTTTTGAGATGTTCTTTCATGGTAGAAGTATTGTATCACTGCAGTTTCAGGGGCATACTAGAAATATGTTGTTGTCCAGTGAAAATGGCTTTGGAAATCAACCTGTTTGTCCTGAATATAGTTAAGGGATATAAAATGTAATAAATATAAATAAATTGCTGCATGATATAATTGTTTTTCTTATTCCTAGTTGATCTCTTGGGCCTTCTGAAATGGCGATCTAACACGAACTTGTTGCAGCAGAATCTGAAGCAGCTGATGAAAGTTGATGGTGGTGAAGTGGTTAAGGTAACAAGTTAATTTCTTTATTAAATTTGGTGTCGTAGTTTTTCTGAATCCCAGATTTTGAGGTATTTGTATCTTTCCCCTTACCCCTCCCAAAACCTCCCTGCACACACTTGGACATTAAATTGTAACCAGGTGTCTCTTAGCCTTCAGGATGCCGATGCCCTTCTCCTCGCCCTCAAAGAAGATTTCAGATGTTGAGTACTGGTAAAGCACATGTAAAATGCAAATTTCTGAAAATATAGGGTGGTGGGTTTTTTTTTTAGTACTTGAGTGGATTTTTATATACAGGTGCGTGAAGGCAAAGGGTGTTTTTCTTTGCAAGATTAAAACATCTTGGAATTCCTACATCGTAAGATATATTTTTAATATATGTATGTGGAATGCAATCCTACTGTGTGCTGCTGATATTTTTGAGAAAATGATTTCTCCTGAAAATACGTAGCTGAGCCAAGTTATTTACATTTGCCAAGGCCACTGAGTGATTGTAGAGACTCGCGTCAAGACAGATTTAGCTGTAGAAAAGCGTAGGCTGGGACTTTATTGAATGTGTTGTAATAAATCAAATCTAGAAGAGTGTCAAAAGATGTACTGGGGACAAATGACCCTGAAGGGCCTGTAGGGTTGTTTTCTTTACTTCAGTGGATTTTAATTTGGTTAATAGAAACATAATGAATGCCTCATCTTAAAGTACCTCAAAACATCTGAGACTGCTGATCCTATCCTTGATTGAGTGTAGTGAAAATAGTATCTCGCGTGATTTGTTTTTTTGGGGAAGGTTCTACCTGCTGCTGTTTTGTTGTGGATCATTTGAGAGCTAAAAACTTGCCACTGATACTTGCTTCTGCCAAGAATTGTCATAGTTTTGTCGTTTGTAATTTTCCCTCTTCTCCAAATGACATCGGAGCCTGTACGGCAGATTACTACTTGATGGATGCTGGTGATTTGAGAAGCATCAGAAAGCAGCACAAACGAGGTTTAAGTAAAAGCAATATCGGAGCAAATTCTCCAGCTGGCACGTGCTCACCCCTCCCTGCGCTGCTGCGGGACTCGTAGGAAATCATACTCCCTGCTCCCTATTGCATAGGGACCTGAGCAGAACTTGATTTATGCATAGGATAGGAGAGGGAATGTTTAATATTGCTCTCTTTACCATTTTTATTCTGTTTTTTTTTTTTTTAGAAGACCACTGTTTACATTATCCATGTGTTACAGCAGTGTTCAGAAAATCCATGTGTAGAAAACTCTGCGTGTTCCTAGTATCTAGTTTAACTGTTCCTTTCTATTCTTTCAGCTTTTTTGTCCTTCGTGTTTTTAAATACAATACATGGTACAGGCTGTGTGTATTACAAAAAATATGCATTCGATAAAACCTATTCAAATTTTCTGTTAAACTATTTCTTTTTAAAACTCCAGTAAAACGCCTCTGCCTACTGGTGTTCATTTATCATTAAGTAGAGATCAGCCGAGATAGTCATTCTGTGTTTGGGTGTTTCAATAGCGTATGGAGGCTGTAAATGTTATCTCCCTTGAACAGAGGCTCTGACTCCATTTGTGCATAGAGCCTGTAGGATATGAGAAGGTAAACTCATAGGCTAGAGATTATTCATGCTTGCTTCCTACCTGAGAAATGTATTCTTGCTGCTTTATCCATGAAAAGCATCTATCCTGTGTTCTTCTTGCTGTTACATGAAGTCCTTGTGAACAGATTTAGAACTTGAACTCTGCTGATGAAAGTCAGTAAGTGTGAAACAAAGAGTTGGTCACTCAGGACACAGCCTTCTAACCATCCTTTGTTTTTCAAGGGACTCAGCCAGGCATTGCCTGGGATCTGAGAGTACTACTTCTCTTCAAACCAAGATGGAAACTTCTCCTGTCAAGGCTCAAAACTGTGCTTTACTCTTTCCTTCCTGCCAACTGATGGTTAAATGTACTTGCACGTGTTCTTAACTCAACGAATGGGACTGTGAGAAGGTGATTTCTCCACTCCCCACCCACCCCAGGCCCCCAAATCCTGTAGTGAAATTTCAACCTGGATCTCTTCCAGCACTGGAGTCTAAAATCACCTGCAAGCATTTTGGCTTTTCTGTTTTTTCTTTTTTTCTTTTTCATCTTCAGGTATTAGTAGCACCACCTGTGGCTCCGCGATCACTTGTTTTGAGGAAGTTTGGCATTCGGTGGTGTCCCGAGATTTAACTCTGGCTTTAGTAGATAGTCCAAGTGAATCATGTTTGATCTAGGAGACTCATTGCACAGATAAAAATTTTTTAAGGGAGGAAGGTGGGAGTGAGGCTGTTTTTTTCCATCGCTCCTGCAGTGAATAATCACTTTGTAGCCGCAGTCTTGGGGAGCAGTTGCCTTCTGTTTGTTCAGATGTTCTTCTTCAACTATACTTTGTCTCGTCTACAAGACAAAAAACCATTTTTACTTCATTTGAGACAGACTTGCTGGAACAATCCATGTTGAACTTCTCTCTCAATCCAAATAAATACCAACTGAGGCCACGATCCATCCTTGTTCTGCCTTGGAGGAGCCCATGTCGGTTTTGTGTCATCGGCTGGAGGAAAATGCTCAGACACAAATCCCATGCTGATAAAATGTGGTGATGAGTATCTGTGGTCCATGCATGGATTGCTTGCTGTCACCGGGAAGAAATAATTATACATGCATAAAACAGCTTCATGTCTCTTCTTAACTGGGGTCGTTTGACACTAATTGGCTTCTACTTGTGTGTTGCACAGATGAGGGTGGCCAGCCAAGTGGCTAGTGAAGACTCTTCCTCTTTTACATCA